CCTGGTTTGTAGTATTTTAGCATCTGGCAGGACCAGCCCCTTCTCCTTACTCATTGAGGGTCTGGGAGCAAGGGAGTAAAATGCTCAGATTTGATTCTGAGATTTCATTTTGTACTTTAAGATGGATTTACAGGGGGCAAAATTAGAGACAGAGAAAAGGTCAGAACGATATTGCAGTAATTTAAGTGAGCAAAGTGAAGGCCGGAGCCAGAGTAGAGATGGTCAGAAATAAGGGAAAGAATTAAGTAGACATAATCCAAATCATCAGATTCAGAAAAGAGAGAGGCGTGGGCCTAGGATCAGAATATGTGTATTTCGGTATAACCAAACAGGAACTAATCTCAGACCACTTTCAACTGCCTTACCCGGTGCAGCTCCCGGCCGCTTTCATTGGAAGACAAACCCCATGGAGCAGGTCCCTCCAAGGTCCTGGGGCTCGGCCGCAGGCCCCTGCTGCACTTGTCAAAGTGAGTGAAGGCCACCAGGCAGTGTTGTCCCTTACTGGCCACTCAGGGACAGAGAACGTTTCGACCCATTCTTACCACTTAATAAAGAGGACTTGGGGGCCACCTGAGGTCCCCATGTTCTCTCATGAAACTAGTTCAAATCTTTGTCCCCATCATGACTCCCTGCACAAAACCTTTCCGGAAGGTTTTGAGGAAGGTTTTGACTCTCTTCCGCAAAGCTTTCAGGAGCATTTGACTCTGCTAACTGCTGTAACCTGAAGCTTGCTTTGAGGGGTGACGCAGGCCCAGGCTCTGGCATGGGAGTGGGGGTGGGTGGCAGGAACAGCTGGGGGTAGGGCTGTATGGTTGTTACTGCCGCCCCTCCTGCCTCACTGGGCCGGCAGAGCAGGGCCCAGGCCCAGGCACCGGCGCTCTCCTTCTGTGGGAGCTGCAGGGGCGAAGCCTGGGATCAGAAAGGTACCACGCTGCCCTTTATAGTAATTCTTCTACACTTCAGAATAGAAAACGGATTTTGCTAAGATTTGTGTAAGATGAGCTGCTTAGCAAATCACTGCCATCTAATTATAAAAAGAAAATTATGTTTCTTCTGTCTCTGTTCCAAATATATATGTCTGCCACTTAAATGGCAGTCGCTTTGGGCAGGCGTGACCAAACTGTGCTCTGCAGCCTGCTCTGAACTCACGATGGTCAAGGCAGGTGCTTCTGAGAGCAGGTCCACTTTTTTGACACGGGGTACATCCGGCAGCACCCACTTGCCCTGCTGGCCGGTGGTTCTCCTCAGCTCTCAGCAACCTGGACGGAGGCCCCGGGGCACCTGCTGAATTCGATGGGGACAGGAGGCCGAAAGAGCCAGTATGCAGAAACTCAGGAGCCAGGCTCCAAAGTCCGCCTCAGGCCAAGGACAGGCCCAAACCAGCCGGGCCCAGTGACCAGGGAAACTCGTCCCGCCTTCCCATGCAGAGGATGGCGTGCCCACTAAATGGTTGCATCTGTTCATTTTGGGTACTGGCATATGGTGTTTGTGGTACAATCTTTTATGTTTTAATTTTTTTATTTTTCAATATTAAAAAAACAAATGACTTAGGGGTTCGCAGTTGACAGTAAGATTAACGGGAGTCAGGGAAAACCACCGCCGCCCAGCCTCTCTCTGCCTCTCTTCACCGACCAGCTGCTTCTGCGGCTCCAGCTGCCTCGTACCGTCCTCACGGCTACCCCTTTCCTCAGGGGCTTGGCTCCACTGCAGCGCTGATCCCGTTGATCCCGTATGGTCAGACCCCTGAGGGCCAGGCCCCGTGAGCACCAGGAAACAGAAGACATGTCATTTTTGGCCCATCCAGTTTTGGGAGCAGCACAGGTAACTAACATAAGGAGCATGTGCCTGGGGACCACATGGACCTCGGTCAGACTCCTGGGCTCTGCTATTCTCAGGCCTTGACTGGAGGTGGACTCTTCAACCACCCTGAGCCTCAGTTTCCACACACATAAAAGGCTAATTGCAATTGCCGCGAGGCCTACATGCAGCTAATGTACAGTGTCTAGCCCAGGCCCAGCCTACAGTCTTTGCTGAAGGAAGAGGAGGAAGGAGAAAAGGAGGGGGTAGGTAGGGAATGGAGAGGGACTGGCAGTCTTTAAACGATGCCAGTCGAGCAGCAGTTGAAGGAAAAAAAGCTGGAGCTGGAGAAAAAAAAGCGGGGCTGTCAGAGATTCATAGGGTACAGAGCCAGTGGGGCAGGCTAAGGGGAGAAAGGAGGGAACTCTTCAAGGACAAGAGTCTCAGATGGAAAAGTGGACGGATTTGGGGGCAGCAAGCTCCCCATCTCTAGAGGGGTCTAGCTGAAGCCAAAGACCCACCACCACCCCTCAGAGGCTATAAGAGAGGAACTCCCCTATTGAACAGTTCCCAGACTGTATTCAAGGGGGGGACTTTCCCATTTGGGCCATATTTATTTACTGGTGAACTATAACTGGCTTCATCTTTACCTTAAAATCACCATAGTTTTTATTTAATTTTTTTTTTGTAATCTCTACACCCAACATGGGGCTTGAACTCAAGACCCTGAATCAAGAGTCACACACACTCCCAACTGAGCCAGCTAGGCATGCCCCTACTCCATACTTTTAACTTAAAATCTTTCTCTAGCCTTAATTTGAACAAAAGATCTATTTTTAAAAAATGGGTTTGATGTAATGCCTGGGTTTTTTTTTTTTTTTTTAAGTTTTCATTTATTTATTTTGAAACAGAGACAGAGAGTGAGTGAGCTGGGGAGGGGCAGAGAGAGGGAGAGACAGAATCCCAAGCAGGCTCCACGCTATCAGTGCAGTGATCTTGCAAACTGTGACATCATGATCCAAGCCAAAATCAAGAGTCAGATGCTTAACCCACTGAGCCTCCCAGGCACGTATGCCTGGGTTTTATAATACATACAAACAAGTGTATTAAAATGAAACGATTCGGGGCGCCTGGGTGGCTTAGTCAGTTAAGCGTCTGACTTTCACTTAGGTCATGATCTTGCAGTTCGTGGGTTCGAGCCCCGTGTTGGGCTCTGTGCTGACTGCCAGCTCAGAGCCTGGAGCCTGTTTCAGTCTGTGACTCCCTCTCTCTCTGACCCTCCCCTGCTCACAATGTCTCTCTCTCTCTCCTAGAAATAAATAAAACATTAAATAAATAAATAAATGAAATGAAATGATGCTGTATGTGCCCCACCTAAAGTTCTCTCCCTGACCACTCTGAGATATGCACAGTTATGGGATCTGAATCTAGACTCACCACACTCCAAGGGCCCCTTCTGTGTCGATGATTCTGTTATCTGTGGTTACAACCCTGAGGGCAGGCAGCAAAGTCACAGATGGGGCCTGGGTCTTTGTGGCACAGAATGTTCTTAATCCTTCTGGCCCTTTCTGGTCTCCCAAGCATGTTCTCATGTGTGTATTTCATCTAATCCATGAAGAGCCTGAGGGCAGGCAGCAAAGTCACAGATGGGGCCTGAGTCCTTGCAACATGAGACATGCCCAGGGCCCTCTACACAGTTACAGAAGACGAGAGCCAGGGCGCAGAGCCCCTAACTCTCCATCCCTTGCTCATCCTACCAGCACATTACCACACACCCAGATCCAGCGCAGTGCTCTCCCAAACCTTGTTAGCTTCACAACCCAGATGTTAATCGTCTGTCATGTGTTTTATCCATCCAGGTGGCCAGCTGCCAAGCTCTGGAGATGCAAATCTGCCCCTCTGAGACAGAAAATGTCACTTCAGCAACCAGCAGTGACCCACACTGTCGTACGGCCACATGGCCATCAGCAGTCCCCAACTGGTAAAGCTACCAGAAACACCTAAAGGTCAATGAGTGGGACATGCAAGAATGAAATGCACATTGCTACTTCATGAACCCTGCGAGAGGGATGGCTACAGAGAGCTGCCTTGGATCATGCTAAAAGGCCCTGGGGGCTCAGTGGTGGGGGCCGGGGGCTCAGTCTCTGGGAGCAGGCGAGACCAACCTCGTCATATGCAGCAGGAACACCACCTAGAAGACTGGAGATGAGCACCGAGGAGTGCATGACAGGCGCCAAGGGGCACAATATGCTGTCACCTTAGCCTCCACAACGTCAGCTCTGTTGTCTGAAGCGCGCACTAACCCCTCATTTTCACTCTTGACACTGGACTCTACCACAAGAGCGGGATCGCCTGGCTGGGCAGAGCCACAGTGCAGGTCCTCGGTAAACAATAGCGAGACAAGGGGGCTTAGACCGGGGGATCTAACCTGGAATCCAGGCCTTGTTGGAGATCCATGACTCCCCTCAATTGTATGCCCAACTCTGTACACCCAAGCAACTTTTCTCTGGGCTTCTCCCTGGCATATTAAAGAGGCTGTGACCCAAAAAAGGCAAAAACCATTGCTCTGGACACCAGACCCTCAGCCTTCTTGGCTGCCTTTCCCATGCAAAAGCTTGCTGGAAGTGGCACTAATAGTCCAACTCTGTGTACAGTGACTTCATAAGCATCTTGGAAGATCTAAGCTCTGCATAATCTACTATTCTTTGGGTTTTGTTATTTGCAGCTGAAAGCAGCGCCCACCGACTTCATACCATGAGGCCCAGTGGCAACACCCGAGATTGTGAGGGTTGGCAAGTCCTCTCAGAACTTGAATTCTCTGCCCAGCCCCTAGACAATGGATACTTGCCAGGTGGCCCGGGGGCACAGGGAGCTCACTGGGCTCCTCCCTTTTTCCGGTCCCCAGACAAAGGTAGCTGCCCATCTTAGATTGCTGGATGCCTGCCCCAAGCCTGGCAGGGACAGAGCCTCTGTGACTCAATGCACACTCTTGATGCTTGAGAATATTCCAGCTTCACACAACCATGTGTTCTCACTCAGCTCCCATCAGTATGACTTGTACAAACTATACAACACTCATGAGCAGGTATGTTTCCAATCACTCACAGGGAGGAACACTCCATTTGGGCACACGTTTCACGGGCAGAACTGATTACAGGGGGTGTAAAATACAAAGCGAAGGTCACGCTTCCCTGAGAACTCACTTGATCCAGCAGGTTGGTCAATATGCAAATCTGACTGACGTGAGGACCAGTCACCCCAGGAGCTAGCTCGCTTCATCATAGTCTGGTAGTCCTCCCTGGTTGCAGGTGATCACTCAAACTTGGGAACCAGCCCGAAATTTGTCACTTTGTGAGCAGCTCAGATCAACTGAAAATGTGAAATACCTATGGTTAGAGCTAATAATAGAATAGAAGTTATATCTGCCACAAAAATGTCTTCTGTAGGCGAAAGCCATGAGTTGTGGAAGATGCAAAATGCTTTCTGTGAAAGCAGAGCAGGCGAGCCTGGAGGACTCCTGCTTCACCAGGGTTCAGCAAGGAGCTCTCACCCTCCTCTCCATAAAGAAACACTGACGCGGGGTGGGGGGCAATTTCTGCTACAGCACCTGGCATCCTCAACACCACCATCCTTCAAAGAGGCTGGTAGACCCTGCATCCTCGAAAACCCGGGAGCATCAAAGCCTAATACCTCCTGACCTGGCAGAGAAAGTACAAAACTACACCGTAAACCGCAGACAAAGAAACTCACTGGCGGCTGGGAGCGAGAACAGACCGAAGGTTGAAAACCATGGCCCAAAACATTTTCAGCCTCAGTCAGCAGGGACATGCAATTTACAGGAAATCGGGAGATTTATAAAATGTCAGCCAGCCCGAGTTTCTGCCCTGGGAAGGGAAGCAGGAGAAACTCTTACGAACTGTCTCCGTGAAGTACTGTGCTCACTGCAAAGCCCCTGACCCATGTCAGTTATTAATAGCAACAGCTCACCACCCCACACTTCAACCTGTGCTTGGCAACACAGCAAAAGCTTACCACTACCACAGGCTGCACCTGGAGGCCTAAAGCTGGGGACAGCCAGACCCTCCGAAGAGGTCTCTAGATAGGATCCTGGGCAAGTTATTGATATTTGCTAGCCACAGCTCCCCATCGGCATATGGGGATTACAATAAAACCCCAGTGAGAGTCTTGTCAAATGATGAGAGAGCACGCCCTGGTCAAGTGCCTGGTCTGTGTCAGCCCTGCTGACAGCTACTATTGCAGTGGGGCTTCAGGGTTTTTAAGTCAGATCTCCTTATTACTCTTTTGAGGCTAGAATTCTGAGCCTTGTCAGTCATTCTCTCTGCGCAGGTCCAGGACAGAGTGTGCGTCTTGAAGAAGCAAGAACCATTTAACCCAAGGAGGTTAGGTACCAACAGGGGCCCATGGGGAGAGGAAGGGGAATCCCAAAGCTCTGCAATCCAAAGAGGCGGCCCTTGTCTGTCTGTCTCTGTCTCTCTTCCCCCACCCACCCCCCCCCCCCCCCCAGCCTCAGCTTTCTCCACGGCCAGCATAGATCTCAGTTCCAGCCACAGAGTTGAACTGGGTGTCCAGTGCCCATGCTCCTGCCAGGCATCACCTCCTCTAGGAGGCCTTCCCTGCCTTCCACACTGCCTGATCGCACACCCTCTGCGCTTCCCTGATCCCATTATTGACCACACTGCGCTGTTTTACCTTTACCTTTCCCGCAGAGCAGGAACAGGTGCTGTGCCCTACACAACGGGCGCCCCAGCCAGGTCCGGTCAATGAATGAACCGGGCCTCAGTTGTGACCACAGTCCCAAGCCCCGCGGCGCAGGGAAGGGTTGTTTGTGAAGCAGGCTGCTTTTTATTACTGAGATAAATTTGACAACACCCCTGGCGGATCCCTGCTTAACGCCATTTTAAAAGGGGAGAAAGAGCCCCCCTCCCCACCGCCCGCCGCCCCACTCCCGCCGCCCACGTCCCCGCGGGTCCTCACCCAGGCAGACCAGAAACCCTAGGGCGGTTCCGTGAAAGGGGCTCTTTGGGCGGTGGATAGGCCCTCCCCACTGGGGTCTCTATTGTGGCGGATTTCTCGCTCGCACAGTGTTGTGCCAGAGCCTGCGGCGGGGGGCAAAAGGCCACTCCCCGCCAGCCCCAGGGCTCCCGCCGCGCGTGGGGAGCGCCGCAGGGCCCGGGGGGCGGCCACACCTCCCGCCCTGAACAAAGCGCCGGCCTCCGTCCCCCCCGCCCCGGGCGGCTGCGACCACTCACCGCGCGCTCTAGCCCCGGCTCGGCTCCGGCCCTCAGGCCGCCGCCTCCATGCTGGCGCGACCCAGGAGGCAGCACTGCGCCCGTCCGGCCCCACTGCAGCCGTACAGGCGGCTCCCGGCCCGCCAGCCCTCCGGCCGCTCCGGCCCGTCCCCGCCCCGGCGCTGCCTTAAAGCGACCGCGCAGCCCGCGCGCGCCCCGAGCGCCTGGCGCGCGGCGCATTCCTTATATTGCAACAGCTTCTGCTAAAAATAGAGCGCCGCGGCAGGCGGCGGGGCGGCGCCGCGACCCCGCCGCCCCCGCGCGCACCCGGGCCCCCGGGACGCGCGGCCGGCGCAGTCCCCGGCCACCCGCGCCGACTCCCGCGGCAGGCTCCAAGGGGGCCCGCGCCGCCGCCTTCCCCGCGACCCCGCGCCCTTACCCGGTCAGACCCGCGGCGCCGCGAGGCTGGCTTTAAGGTGGACGCGGAATGGGAATTCGCCCGGGCGTCTTTAAGAGCCTCTGCGCCCCGACTTTAAGTCGCCGCTCGGGCCCAGACAACTTGTGAGCCTACCGACGCCTCCCCAGTCCTCAGAGATCCCGGCCGCCACCTCAACAGCGTTCTCTTCGAATCCCGGGCCGTGTCTCTTCCTAGAGCCTCACCCGGCGCCTCTTCCCGCAGGGCCCCCTAGGCGCACCGTTCCTGGGCCCAAAGTTCGTTCGGATGGATGCGACGGGCACAGGCGACGCTCGCGCTCCATTTTATTGTTTCAGTTCGGCTAACTCCTCGCCGTCAACGACATTTTTTTCTTTCTTTTTAAAAATGGAAATGACGTGGTTTTTAGTATATTCGCAAAGTTGGGCAACCATCACCATTATTTAATTCCAGAACATTTTCACCCCTCCCCCTCCAAAAAAAAAACCCTCACCCATTGGCAGTCACTCCCCAATCCCCAACCCCCAGTCTCTAGAAACCGCTAATCTACTTTCTGTCCCTATGGATTTGCCTATTCAGGACATTTCATAGAAATGGAATCATACCACATGTGGTCTTTATGTGACGGCTGCTTTCACTCAGCACTATGTTTTCAGGGTTCTATCCATGATGCGCGTGCGGCAGCAGCTCCTTCCTCTTCAGGATGGAAAAGATTCCATTGTATGTAGACACCGCGTTTTGTTTATCCATTTCCGGTGAGGGACAGTGAGGTTGGTTGTTCTTTTTGGCTGTTATGAATCAAGCTCCTGTCAGCATTAATGTACAAGTCTTTGTATGAACGTATGTTTTCTGTTCTCTTGGAGGATAAACCTGGAGGTAGAACTGAGTAGAACTGAAGTAGGATTGTGGATCATATGCTTACCTACGTCTAACCTCGTGAGGCCCCCCCCCCAAACTCTTCAGGGCAGCTACACCACATTCCTAGGAAGGACTAGAGTACCAATGTCTCCACACCCTCACCTGTGCTTATGATTGTCTTTTTGATTATACCAACCTAGGGGGAGTGAGGTGGTATCTCATTGTAATTTTGATGATTGGTATCAATTTTGAAGACTTTTTTTTTTTTTTTTTTGTGGATGGACCTTGATGATGACCTGGAACCGCTTGACACAAGGAGGGAACCCATCTGCTTGTGGTTTTGAGAGCTTCACCGTCTACCGCTAGCATAAGAGGAGCTGCCTACCGAGTCCTTCATGCCATACTGGGGCTTCCAATCTGATGCAGGTTCTGACTGGCACCCCAGCCTTTTGGTGAGAGCTGTTGTGTCCCCCACATCCACCTGCTGCTCTAAAGTCCCCGTGGACTCCAGGAGTCTCCATGGCGGGGGCATTACGAGCAGTCAAGTACTCACCTTGGGTAGGGAGTAAAAGAACTGGCTGAGGAGGCGGGTAGAAGGAGAGATGCTCTTCTTGACTGGCTGGGTCTTCCCCTGACCCTCCTTCTTTCTCCCCCTTCCATTTGCCACAGGCCTTGGGGGAGACTGGCCCAGGTCTGTGTGTCCTGGTTGTCTGCCAGCCCCCCAGGACTCCCTCTGTCCTGGACCCTGATTGGTGCCGTGCTCTGGCCGCATTGCCCTCAGCTTGAGCTGAGACAATGACTACACAAGACGAAGATTGGCTTTATACCACGTTCACATACAAATCTTTAAAAATCTGCCTCCTCAGAAAGGAACTTAAACAGCTAGTAATCACACACAGGTACCCGGGATTCTCTAATGCAGGTTGTGACTGGAGGCTCACAACAGGGCTCTTGTCCCATTTGGGCCATCTCCTCAGCTCTTTGAACTCTAAAATAATGTGTGGTTCAGTCACTGGGAAACAGGGGCTTTGGAGAACAGGGTCACTGAGGCCTGAGTCTAATAGTCATTCATTCAGTAAACACTGCCTGAGCACCTATTGTGCCGGGTGCTGGGGCAGAGACCTACCTCCAGGTGAACTCCTAGTGCCATCCGAGGGTAAGTCGGTAGAAGAGAGAGATACCAGCGCCTATGGGAGCCCAGAGGGAAGGGACCTAACCCAATGTGGGGGAGGGCATGGGTGCCCAGGGAAGGCTTTCTGAGAGAAGTGATGACTGAGCCAGGGCTTGAGGGACAAATAACATGCAGCTAGACTGAAAAGAGAGAGAGAAACCTTTATATGCCAAGATATGACTGAGATGAACTCTTGCCAAAAACTTAAGCAATCTGCGTGGCTGACCAGGTGTGTTTGCAGCATGGCAGGAGGCCAGACTCCTGGCCTGAAAGACTCCTGGCCAAAAACCCAGGCTGGACTCAGGCCCAAATTTCAGGCCCTAATGTCCAAGTGGGGGGTTCCGTTGGCAAACCTAGGAGGCCTAGGAACTTTGAGGGCCAGGAGCCAGCCAGGTCACTGTAGCACACCCTTCATCCAGAACCCTCTGCCGCAGTGTGGTCCCTGGGGTAAAAGCAGCTCTGGGCCTCTGAACACTTGTGGTGTGCCAGACACGGGCACAATGATGAGTCTGCACACATCCCAACAACCTATGAGGAAGGTCTTACCTGCACTGTTTTGGACTTAAGGAGGCAGAAACCAATCTTATCCAGCCAGTAGGCTGGGAGTCAGGATCTTCTGACCGCAGAGCCCATATTCTTTCCCTTATGTCTGGTGGCTTCAATGGGCATGTGAACTGTGTGTGTGTTTTCGCGTTGGGAAAGCAGGGAAAAGGTGAAAAGGATACTAGTCTCCTCAAGCTCATGGCTACAATTAGATCTTTTACTGACCCTGAAGCACCAACCATGGGTTAGCAGAAGAGCCTCACGCCACCCATCCCTCTGCCCATTCATCCCCTCAGCTGACCTTTCTTCTGGGCCAAGAACAGGCTTTTATGCACAGGGCTGCCAGTGATAAGGTACCAAGAACTACACGTTCCTCTCAGGGGTTTCATGGCTTGTACCAGTCCAAATTCAGTCGTGTCTCACCTTGAACTCTCCCTGCTGCACCCTCGGTACACCCCCTCTCACCTCAGCCCCATTAGGAGCGAGGCATCACAGAATTTTCTTCTCTGATGCTTATCGCTCCTGATGCTTGTGGTCTATCCCTCACATGGACTCCCTCTTGCTCCCTGGGGCCGGAAGAGCAGCTTTCAATCAATCCTTGCCCAGTTATGGCCAGGCTTCTGCAAAAAGTTGTCCATATTCAACTAATACGTTTGTTTCAGATCATTTGTTTTTCTCCCCCTTAGCCCTTCCTCTGTTTAAACTAGAGTCCGGTGGCTTTTAAATAATTTTGGCTGCAACCCATAGAAACAAGTAGGTTTTACGTGGAAAACCAAACATGTACACATACAAGTGAAACAAAAATTTAATGAAACAATACTTATCTTTACTATATGTGATATGCTCTGATCTATTCAAGAATGCTATCAAGACCCATTAGACTGATTTCATGCCCCATTAATGGGTTGTGAGCTACAGTTTGAGAGGCATTGAACCCAGATATTTTGACACTCCAAGACTCAAGGTAGTGACATTACAGCAGATATTTGGCAAGAAAAAAAAATCAACTCTAAGATTTTGAAACACAAGCTATAGGGAAACATTTGAAAATAAAAGAGTTTTGAGTCTCAAAAGCCTAGGAGATTTCCTCTTCTAAGTAGGATGTAGTAGGCTGTGGAAGCCAGTGCTCCTATGGCAACAAGATGAGATGAGGCTCTCCAGCTGTCCCCTCACTCCTCTCCCTGGACATTTGTCAGTTTGGGGCACTGCCTAATGATCAAGCTTTGTGCAAAAGAAAGACCTCTAATGGAGTAAAGAGAAACCAGTAAAGCTGTTAGTAGCTACATGAGACTAGAATGAAAAATGGGGACATGGAGGCCTTAAAAACACCACCTGTTTTCTCCACAGGGCATTTGCTGAGTTCTGGGTCTGAGCGTGCATCTAAAAAGCAGACTGAAATCTTCCACAGTCTCACAGCATCTAGAAAACAAAGGCTTCTCAAGAAGAAAGGGCCTACCTCAAACACAAGGCCAGCTCCTACCTCATGGTATCTGCCAGATTTTGAACGTGCAATGGTTCTGGATGGTCATTTTAGAACCTCTGAAGGGCAGAAATGAAGCTCCACAGTCCTTCATGGCTGAGGGTACAGAGACCTTCAAGGCTGTCAATCAAAATCCACATGTGAGGAATATGGGTAAACAGAAATGGATTGTTTTGCAAAAGTTGAGATCCAACCTCAAGTAGCTTAATCCCTTCACTGGACTGAGACAATCATCCTTCATGGCCATCTGCTTAATGGAGGAAAGAAGGAACATTCTGCGTGGCAAGTTATATCATCTGGAGTCTCTATGCCTCTTGCATACAATGTCTGCACATAGTAAAAAGTAATCAAGTGAAGGGGCAAGAAACTATAATTGATAAGCAAGAGAAAAAACAGACAATAGAAACAGATACATAGATCACTCAGATGTCAGTGAATAGACAGGACTTTAAACTAACTGTAGAAACACTGGAACTCTCACACATCGGTGGTAGAGTGTAAAACAGTATATCCATGTATCAGCCAGAGTTCTCTCAGAAACCACACAGAAATCTGGACAAGGAAATTTTAATGTGAAGAATTATTAAGTATAAAAAGGGACTACATACTAAGAGGAAAAGAGAATTCTAAAGACTATAGTAACAGTAGGTATAGGGAGTAGCCTCTAGGGCTGAGGCAGAGCACCCAAGGAAAGAACAAATCTGTATGAGGTCCCTCC